GCCATAGTTATAAGTTTCCTGAGGCCTCCCCAGCCATGGAGAGCTGTGAGTCAACTAAATATATTTTTAAAATAAATTACCCAGTCTCAGATCTCTCTTCATAGCAGCTGAAGAACTAACTAATTTACCCAGCCAGAGCAATCATGAAAAAGAAAGAAATAAAAGTCATCCAAATTGAAAAAAGCAAGTCAAATTTTCCCAGTTCACTGATAATATGATCTACAGTTAGAAAACTTCAGTCTCCACCAAATATCTTTTCAATTTGAGAAATTAATTTAGTAAAGTTTGAAGATCCAAATACAACACAAACTGATAGCATTTCTGCATACCAATTATGATCCAGCAGAGGATCAAATAAAGAAGACAATCTCATTAACAACAGCTAGTAAAAAAAAATAGCTAAGAATAATTTTAGCCAATGAGGTAAAAAATATCTACAAGAAAAACTATAAAACACTGATGAAGGTAATTGTAGGTGTCAAAAACAAGTGGAAAAATATCCCTTGCTCTTGGATTGAAAAAAATAATATTATTAAAATGATCATACTGCTCAAAGCAATCTACAGATTTAATGCAATCCCTAAAAAATGATTTTTCACAGAAATAGAAAATAATATCATCAAGTTTACATGGAACCAAAAAAGAGGCTGAATAGCCAAATAAAAACTAAGCAAAAAGAATAAGGCCAGAGGCATCAATTACCTCACTTCAAATTATACTATAAGGCTACAGTAACCAAAGCAGCATTGTACTGATATAAAAATATACACATAGATCAAGGGAACAAAATAGGGAACACAGAAATAAAGCCATGTACTCAGAGCCAACTTTTTTTGTGATAAAAATCAACAAGAACATATACTGGAGAAATTACAACATTTTCAATAAATGATGCTGGGAAAATTTGATTGCCATATACAGAAGAACGAAATTGGACCCTTATCTTTCACCACATGCAAAAATCAACTAAGGATGAATTAAATACTTTTGCAAGACATGAAACCATTAAAGTACTATAAAAATAACAAAGGAATATTCTCCTGGACATTGGTCTAGGCAAAGTGTTTATGAATAAGAGTAAAAAGCACAGGCAACAAAAACAAAAATAGACAAATGGGACTTAATTAAGCTAAAAATCTTCTGCACAGCAAAAGAAATAATCAAGACTGAACAGACAATCTACAGAATGGGAGATAATATTTGCAAATAATGCATGTGACAAGGAATTACAAGCCAGAATTTAGAAGGAACTCAAACAACTCAAAAAGAAAACTCCAAATAATCCCAATACAAAGTGGGCAAAGGACATGAATAGACATACAAATGGCTAACAGGCATGTGAAAATGTTCAACATCATGAGTCATCAGAGAAATGTAAATTAAAACCACAATGGGATATCATTTTACACCAGTAGGAATGGCTATTTTTTAAAAGAGAAAAAATAACAAATGTTACCGAGGATTTTTGAAAAGACAAAAAATAACAAATGTTTGTGAGGAGAAAAGGGAATGCTTATACACTCTTGGTAGAAATGTAAATTAGTACATTCACTACGGAAAATAGTATGGAAATCTCTCAAAGAACTACAAATAGAACTACCATTCAATCCAGCAATCTCACTCCTGGGTATCTACCCAAAGGAAAATAACTCACTGTATCAGAAAGATATCTGTACTCATATGTTTATTACAGTACTATTCACAACAGCAAAGATATGGAATCAACCTAAGTGTATATCAACAAATGATATAATAAAAAAATGTAAGATACATATATATGCAAGATATATATATGCAAGACATATCTATGCATATATATCTTGTATTTTTTTATCTTAGTATTCATATATATTCCAATAACAATCCTATATATACATAGGTGTAAGATATATATATGTATATATATGACATATAGAGAGAGGAATACTATTTGGAATATATACATAATGGAATACTATGATCCAAAATGTGCTATATAAATAAAAGTATAAACAGAATACTATTTATCCATAAGAAAAAATGAAATATGCCTTTTCCAGAAATATGAATGAAAATGGAGGCCATTATCTTAAGTGTAACAAGTCAGGCACAGAAAGAAAAATGCCATATGTTCTCACTTATAAGTGGGAACTAAATAACGTGTACACAGGAATGTAGAGTGGGAATGATAGACAATGAAAGGTGAAGGATGAAATAGGGCACATGATGAGAGCTTACTTACTGGGTACAATGTACATTATTTGAGTGACAGATACCCAAAAAGCCCTTTTTTTCACCACCATGCAATCTACGCATATGACAAAATGTATTTCTACAGATTTGTATAGAAACAGAATTTTTTATCAAAGAGGGTTTTAATTAAATATATCTCTATTAGCTTACTTTAGTCAAAATAACTGCATGAAAATAGATCTAATTTCTCTTTAGCATAAAATGGTTTCTGTGTAGTTGTGTATTTGTCAGGGCATAAATAAGCATGTGATCTCACTTCACCTTTTAAAAAGTTGTGTAAAATTGTTTGTGACAAATCCAGATTTCTTTTTTAAAAGGTTGCATATGAAACAAACTAATAAGCCATAAACAAAATTTTAGTTAATATTGCTATAATCGGTAAAAAATAAAACAATATTTGGATTAAGAAAACTATCATTTTCATTTCCAGCACCATAACTATGAACCACATTACCATGTGCCTCTTGACTCAAATTATTCACAAAGCTAACCAAAGTCTCAAACATTCAAACAAAATAAAGCTAATTCCATGGGGTACTTATGAAAACCAACCAATGTACTTTTGAAGAGTCATAAGCATGCGTCTATTGAGAGTACTCTTCCATCATTTCAAAACCAGTATGAAAATATCATTACTTTGAAATGCTTTTGTTTGTTTGTTTTAGAAAAGGGGTCCAAAATGCTGCCCAGGCTGATCTTGAACCCCTTGGTTAAAGTGATCTACCTCTTCTTAGGCTCCTAAGTAGCTGGGACTACAGGCACATATCACCACCACTGCTTCCAGGTTTGCTTTTTAATATAATTTCACAATTTGCATTGTCATATTTTCTTAGTAATAGCCATCCAGTTTCAAAATCATGGGAAACTTATCCCATATTTCATGTGAGATTTTCTTCTCAAAGAGACTCTAATTCCAAGTTTACATTTCAGTCAAATATTTAAATAACAGACCTCTCATTAGTTAAGATAGACTAGCCCATTATCAACCACAAGCTTTATTTTTACCCTTTAATTTTTTTTATGGATTCATGGGTATAAGTGCAGTTTTGTTGCCTGGATATTTGTGTAGTGGTGAAGTCTGCAGCCAGTCTTTCTAGGAAGCAGACATCCACTTGGTGATATAAATACATATGAAGCTTTATAAAAATGATCAATTTTTCTTTTCCTTTCTTAAAAAGGTTATGCTTTAAATTTTTTCAGCGTTTTAGAAGGCTCCCATATTACAAGGTAATTTTAAAATGAAACCAGTGTGTCCAAAACGTCACATTTCCTCTGCCTTCACTTCGTTCACCTACATGTCTATCTATTACAGCCATATCAATATTGCAAGGCTCAGTTACTATCCATCAACTATGTAATGCCTTCCCAGGCTCAGTTGAAGTCCATCAACTATATAATGCCTTCCCAGGCTCAGATGAAGTCCATCAACTATATAATGCCTTCCCAGGCTCAGTTGAAGTCCATCAACTATATAATGCCTTCCCAGGCTCAGTTGAAGTCCATCAACTATATAATGCCTTCCCAGGCTCAGATGAAGTCCATCAACTATATAATGCCTTCCCAGGCTCAGTTGAAGTCCATCAACTATATAATGCCTTCCCAGGCTCAGATGAAGTCCATCAACTATATAATGCCTTCCCAGGCTCAGTTGAAGTCCATCAACTGTATAATGCCTTCCCAGATCTCTGCCTCCTCTCTTCTTAAAGGTACGTATAATCACTCCTTCCTATAAATTCCTGTAATACTTGGTGATTGTCTTATGTTTTCCATTATAGTCTGTCTGGTTAGCACAAGGTAAGTGGATACTTGTTTGTCTCACATTTATGTTTGGGAGGTCCTGGAAGTCAAGGAGTATATCTTCCTTATAAATTTCCATATTGCTCAATACCCTGACATGTATTTCTTAAGGGTATAATATTTGTTGAGTAAGTGAAGGAATAAATGAGGGAATCAATGGGTTTCTGTGATTAACTAAAATCTTGGGATCCTGTGTACCCATATATCACCTCCTCACAAGAAGAAAAAGTATTCAAAAGCCTAGTGCATATGATAATTGAAAAGAGAGCAGAAAAGCTATATGCCAAACTAAGAGGAAAAAGAAGGGGTAGCTACAAAATATCTCTTGTGTTTCATTATCCCATGCCCATAAACTTCAAGTAACAGTACTCTAACATTATAATGTTAATGCAATAAGTTACCATAAATATTGTTAATGTTTTGCATGTTTTAATGTATATTTTACTCATATTATCTCCAGACAGCCCATGAAATAAGCAGTATTGATTATTAACTATGACCTTCATTTATAGTTGAGGAAACATATTCAGGAGGGCTGTCATACTCAAGTCGATTTAGCTAAGTTACAAATCAGAATTGGAACCCAAATCTGTAAGTCCTGCATGGTAGATCATGGCTCATAACTGTCTCTCAAACTCCAAAAAGATGCACAGTGTTTACTTTGTTTCACCCCAGCAATGGGAATGGTTTTTGCACACTCTTGTGCTCTGTCATTAATCTGCCCATGCCTCCCACACACTGTGCACACGACTGCCAGACAAGAAATAGAATTAAAAGTGAGCTCTGTGGCCATGAAATGAAAACAAACGACAATTCTGGCAGGCCAAGTTACAAACTAAACCCATCAATACTGTATGCTAACCAACTGAGTCAATGAGCTGTGTTACTACTGAAGATCCAGTGGGATTAATATTTTATCAAAATTTGCATGTAATTGATACCTTTGTCCTTTTCTAAATCATGATTCTTACCTTTATAACAGAGGTACCAGCTCTGGAGAGTGGACTGTGAATCTGTGCTGCAGCAGCCATGTTGGCAATAGTATTGAGATGGTTCATCTGATTCATTGCCATGGCAACTGATGCAGGAGGTAAGCTGACTGGAAGTAGGGGATGAGGCATCATCATAAATGGCAGATCCAGTCCTAAAAGAGACAGCGCATATTAACCTTGTTACATTATTATTATTATCTGAAATAGTTTGTTAAAAAGTATCTAAATTCATTCTTAGTTTTCTTAAAAAAACATTTTTTATTATATTCTAATGTATCTTTGTGCCATTAATAGTACCTGTGGTATTTTATATTGTTTAATAATTTTTAAAATCTTCCTATATCCACATATTTAATTATAAATATTCTTTTTTCTTGCTTTCACTCCCAAAATATTTGTAAGATGTGATCTTTTTTACCCACAAAAAACAACATAAATCTTTAAGCCAAACACAATTGCATTTCAAAAATAAGAACTTTCTTCTTAATCATCATAACCATTTTCTAACATCATAACATTAATGTATTGATGCATTGATAGTTTACAGCTTTACAATTTCATTAAGAGACTTAAGAGACCATCCTGCTGGTAAGGCCGAATGTAGATTCGCTAAGCTTCAGAACTATAGAAGAAAACAAGACTTGGAATATGTTATACCCTTTTAGATATAAATCTCTAAAATGAATGCTTATATTGATAGCTTTAATTTAAAGTTTTTATCGATAAATAATAACTCCCCTATCAAATTACCAACATATTTTCCAGTTTAATAATAAATAATAACATTGTTGAGTAGTTTCAGGAATTTCATTTGTTTTCTTATGCAAGTTGAAATAATTTTCACACATTTGAATACCTGAAAGAATCTCTCTCAATTATTACCCACATCCAACTAGTGGTAACCACAGATATGCCATAATGTAAATGGCAACTTTAAAATAATTGTCTGCTTATCCCTTGATAGGCTTGGATTTGTAGGACAAAAGGTCTTTGAGCAGAGTCTACTAAAAGTTAGTCTAGCTTTGGATGTAAACGTGACTATCAGTCAACCATAGCACTTATTATAAACCATTACCTCTACAGTAATCTTGCCTTATCTTGGACAGAGCCCAGAAAGCAGTAATCTTTAATAGATGTTCTAAAACATCCTTCCCTATAATTTTTCTAAATTATCACAAACTACAGAAATTCTAAGGTGGACAGCATTTATGTTGGTCCTGCACACAAGTATTAAGTATTAATAACGTTCTGTATTTTTCTCTTCGTAATCACTTCACTTTTCCTTGCTTCCCTTATCACAACAGAAAAAGAACATCAGTGAATTTATGGGAAGTATATTAAAAAGCTCCGTAAACCTTATTCCTCAAAACAACAGTGGTGGTAATACAAATACTCAAAACACAAATTTTTAGGACAAAGATTTTCTCACATTCAATGGCTTCTTTTCATTTTCTTAACAGTGTGCTTCGCAGAGTAGTTTTTAATTTTAATAAAGTCCAATTTTAATGGGAACTAGAAGGAAGAAGCAGTGTTAATTTATTTGAGGGTCATCTCCTGATTTCAATTATAATGGTTGATCTAAAACTGATAACAACGAAGTACAAAGGCAGCACAAGCAATGGAATGCATTTCCAGATAGGTCAGGTCCCATACAACACTCAAGTGAGCATCACAATTAAATGAATTCCTAAATAAAGAAAACATTAGCCACCAGTGCTTCTGATAAAAAGATAGCCACAAAATGCACTGTTATCAGAATTACACAAGAATAAAACCTAACCTGAAAACTTAAATTCTAAATGGAACTAGAAAAGGAAACATTCTCAGTACTCCCTATCTGATTCCATATCCCAAAGTTAGAAACGTTTTAAACTTTTCTCCTATTCATGTTCACCTATGGCTCACTATCCCTAAATCCTTTTCAGGAGAAGCCTTCCAAACCAAACTTATGAGCTATGAAACATTTTTCTTGCAATTATTAATTTATCAAAGAAGCCTCAAAACAAGGCTTACAACATTGAATTCAAAGTGGCCTTTTCCACGCTCTTTTAATTATTTTTACTTTTTAATTGTTAAAATTTTTATTATAAATTGACAAATTATAATTGTATATACTTATAGAATACAAAGTGATCCTATTATATATTATATATGTGTACACATATATATACACACACATATATGTATACACAGACACACACAATGTGTGATAATTAAATAAAGCTAATTAATATAGCCATCACCTCAAACACTTACCATTCTGGAGAACATTATGCTAAGCAAAATAAGCCAAGCACAGAAAGACAAGCACTGCATAACCTCATTTGTATGTAGAACTCATACCCTTTTAAACTAGAAGCATGTTTTCAGTTAGCCTTCTAAAAGTACTTAGGTACATAAGCATTTTTATACTTAAATTATCATATAGCTTATGCAATAATGATATTTTATAGTACGTATTGAACTAATCACTGTTTGTCTTTCTCCTGAAACCTTAACATTATGTTCAACATAATAACAACAATCAATGACTTAAGTAGGTTTCTATATAAGGCTATCATTTACCGCAAGCCCAAGGTAATTATAGGCTTCAGTCCTTCTTTGTGTATACTGCTTCAGTCACAAATTGATCAATCTTAGATGAAAAGTAGCCATCAGTGCTTCCCTTTACTATTCAAATAAGCTTTTGTTCAATTTACACTTCCCTTAACAGTGTAATAATCTTTCCTCCTTCTCCAAAGATTTTCAGCATCACCTAGACACCATCTGGCGATAATAAGAGATAGGCCTACTTAAAATCCAATTGACATGCAAACTAAATGCCTACTACAAAAAGAATTTAACAGTCCATTGGCAGTCAGTTTTAAAATCTAATACAACAAACATTTCAAATGACCATGAAAGGTTTAAAACTCATACTTTGAAATCATGACCTCCAATAACTGTCAATTGACTATAATGCCCTAGACTTTAAGCTTACTCTAGTACTTACATTACACGCCAGTTTAACAGTGACCCCTGTGAGGTCTCCATGGAAAGCATATGCAAATACTGAATTGTGATAGCAAAACTTTTCCAAAACTGAACACATACAATTAAAAGCCATTAGTAGTACACACTACACCAGCAATCTGGCTGACTTAGTCACACGCCAGATACACACATAGCTTTTTAATAATATGGTAATAAAGAATTTAATAATGCTTTAGGAATTCATTTAAAAAAACACCAAAATGAGTTATCTCTTTTTCTGATGACCTCATGGACATTATGCAAGTTACTATAATTCCTTTTTTTAATGAGACGGAGTCTCACTGTGTCATAAAGGCTGGAGTGCAGTGTAGATCTCGGCTCACTACAACCTCTGTCTTACAGGCTCAAGCGATTCTCCTGCCTCAGCTTCCCGAGTAGCTGGCATTACAGGCATGTGCCACCATGCCCAGCTAATTTTTGTATTTTTAGTTCAGACAGAGGTTCACCATGTTGGCCAGGTTGGTCTCGAACTCCTGACCTCAAGTGATCCACCCAGCTTGGTCTCCCAAAGTCCTGGGACTACAGGCATGAGCCACAGCACTCAGCCTATAAGAATAATTTCTAATGCATCTTGATATTTCAGCAACACCTATAATTTTTATGTAAGTGCATAGCAGCACCTCCTTCTAGCCATGAAAAGTACAAACTTTACTAATCCTCTAATTCTCTATCTTAATCACACATTGCTTTGATTTCCAAGTCACGTTGACTTCTGTAATATTTTGTCATTTCTACAGGGACCACCAGGCATTAATCCCTTGATACAAGTACCCTATCTTCCCATTTACTCTTCATCTGGCTTTTCATTTGCTTTTCCACTCCCATTTTAAGACTTCCAGTGACTACTTACTGCTAATAGAATAAAATACAAGCATTCTTATTTCATCCAAAATTACCTTTCTGGTTGTAATGTTTCATTATATTCATCTATGTATGCTGTACTCTAGCCCCACTGGGCTATTTAGGTCCACAGTTTGAATTCACGTTAGCCTTCACTCATGTTAATGCTTCTCTCTGGAATCTGCTTTCCTAACCCAATTGATTTGCTTAAATAAACTGTCCTTCTCTTTAAAAAATAAACAGACTGGTTTTAGAGCACTCTTAGTTTAACAGAAGACATTAGCAGAAATTATAGAGAATTTCCTTATACTGCCACTCTGCCATCACACAGTTGACCCTCATATTAATGTCTTATAATAATCCGTTATATAGCTACATTTGACAAATCAGTATTGATCTATTAATATTAACTGCAGTCCAGAGTTTACAGGAGAGGTCACTTTTTCTATCCCTCCCCCCAACCTCTGGCAACCACTGGTCTTTTTGGGCTCTATAGATTTGTTTTTACTTGAATGCTATCTAGTTAGAATCACACACTATTTAGCCTTTTCAGACTGACCTGTTTCAGTTAGCAATTTGCACTTCAGGTTCATCCAAGTCTTTTCAAGGTTTGACAGCTCATTTGTTTTTATTGCTAAATATGGTTCCATAGTACATATATACCACAGTTGGTTTATGAATCCACCTATTAAAGGATATCTTGGTTGTTTCTAATTTTTAAAAATTATGAGTAAAGTTACTATAAACTTTGGCGTATAGGTTTTTGTGTGAACTTAAAAGTTCCCCATTGATGTGTATAAATACAGGACTATGTTTACCATTGTAAAAAAAAAAAAAATGCTCAAAATGTCTTCCAAAGTCATTACACGATTTTGCATTCCCATGAACAACAAACTGAAAGTTTCTGTTGCTCCAAATCTTTGTGAGCAATTGAGGTTGACAATTTTGGATTTTATGTAAGTGCATAGCAGCACGTCCTTCTAGCCATGAAAGGTACAAACTTAAGTAATCCTCTAATTCTCTATCTAAATCACACATTGATTTGATTTCCAAGTCAAGCTGATTTCTGAAATATTTTGTCGTTTCTACAATGACTACCAGGCATTAAACCCTTGATACGAGTACCCTATCTTCCCAATGAGTACCCTATCTTCCCAATCGGTCTCCCTGTGGCTTTTCATTGGCCTATTGGCTTTTCATTCAACAGGTGTGTATGAGTATCTCCTAGTCGTTTTAATTCGCAATTCCTTAATGACATATTATATTGAAGATATTTTCA